TATATATATATATATATATATATAATTTCAGTTATTGTTTATTTTAATTAATGTAAGAAAAATGTTTTTTTTTAATGGTTTTAGTTTTAGTTGAGTGTAATAACCCTGGCTGCCTTTAACCACGAAATATGAAATATTTTCATGTAACATCATTATATAAATTTTGTATGCACATTCCACAACACAAAACTTTGCATGCATGTTCATGAACCTAAATAATAAAAAAAAAGTCACAACATATAGAAAAAAAATCATAGGTTAACCAGTGTATCCGACAACTCAAAACCCAAATTGACACGCAACATAATACAAGGGTTAAAAATGATAAACAATTCTGGTACTAAGCTAAACCAGCTGAGATCCGCCGCTATAGACAGCAGCTATGCGCTATGCGTTATTTGGTACGAGTAGGGCATTATAGATCAATTGGCTGTTGGTTTAATGATGTTTGGTTGTGTTTCTCTTTCTTTTGTTGTTAGCGACATCAACAAACCAATCTATAATGCTGTACTGATACTGAATAATATCCGACTGTCCTCCAGACCCCTGCTTACGAAACATTAGCAGTATGAACATATAAAGTGTTGACTGTTAGGAGACACTGTACAATTAAATCCTTAGAGTTAGCGGGAACACGAGCGAAGGGCTGCATGCTTGCGTTAGAAATGCAGATGTCTAGACATGTTGTACATTTTGAGATGTTTTCTGTATTTGTGTGTGGCAGCCTTGAGCTTTTCTCCGTTCTGTCGATGTGAATGTGTCGAGTGGTTCCGTTGTGATGTCACTGTTCCATTTGCATATATTGTCCCCCCCCCCCCCCGTTATAAACAGACCCAAAACTAAAAAAAAAAAAAAAAAAACATTTGTTTAAACCGAAGTGTGGAAAAGCACGTAATCTGTGAATAAATGCATGGCACTCACAACACCAAGATCATGGGTTCAATTCTTAGCAAAAATTAACATGCATGAACTGATAAAAAAATTTATGCCATCATGCAGTGCATAAAATCATCTTACGTTTTTTATTATAATTATATTTTTATTAATATGTTGAATCAGTTTTTATTTTTATATTATTTTATTTTAATTTTTGTTAAAGTTTTATTACCTCTTTGGTGTCTTTTTGTCATTTTTAGTAGTTTTTTGGGTTTATATATATATATATATATATGTAGTAATAAAAAGACTCCGCCTCTCGTCCCGCCCCCTTCTCTAGCTCACCTTCTCGGAAGCCTTGAGAAACAAGGCCCGCTTGTCAATCACAGGCAGCCTGGGGGAAAATGGGCGTGTCCTGACGCCAGACTGCCCTAAGGCCGTGCACTCCGGCCCCTCCTTCCGACATGGCCCCGCCCTCGCCGTGGTGTCCTCCAACCTCCCATAAAAACCAAAAACTCACCTTGTGCCTTAAACCATCTTACCCCTCTACCGAAGTTCAGATTTCACGCAAAACATGGGAGAAGCACGCCGTCGCCGGCTTGAACGCGACTGACCTGAAAACGCACTCTTTCAGCCCTCGGAAAAGACGTCAACAATTGTAAACGAGCCGGGATGGCCTGGATACGAATGCTTTGACGTTGGCGAGCATCAAGGATCCATGATGCCTTATGCTAACTTTGGGGACGAACATCATCGCATACGAGATGGAAAATCACGACCAGTAAACTGTAAATGTAAAGACATTAGCTGCGCTTCCCTGTTTAGCCATCCGATATCAGCAAACCTGCATTAGACGTATTAAATCACAACGTATTTACTACATGGTCCACAATCACTAGCTACTAATCCGTATGTAGATATTCTCTCAGGAGCCACGAAGGGGGACGACGGAAACATCTTTTATCATCTCGACAGGATTTCTTCAAGACGCCACCGGGAGCCGCTTGCTTTTTGGACTGAAATGTAAATAGACCAGTAGTAAAAGCTGAACACGATTTTTTTATAAAGCATCTTAGATAATAATTCATTGCAATAATGGCAATAGGGAGACCTGACTTGTAATTAAGAGATCTTTTATAAACACACAATATTATATATACAGAAACGAATCTATATAATAGAGGGACATCTGAACTAAAACAGCAGCGTTGCGTGTGAGACCATGGCATCTGTTCTGTTAACAGTTGTTTTGATAACCGATGTAATGCAGTGTGTACGTGTCTTTGTCCTTAATGAATGTCCACGCATTTCACATTTCGCACAAACACACGAGTTTAAGATGTGAACGCCGCACCACACCGGGGTCACACCGACTCCCGATTCTCACCTTTGGTGTTTGGTTTTGTTTTTCTCTTTGTACCCACCGATTCAAATAAAACTGGAACATTTATACAATAATTTTTTTTTTTTTTCCTTTTCATGCTTTAAATGAGACAATGTGAATGAAATATGACCATTTACAGTCTAATATGCCAATTAGAGTTGCAAAGGGGTGGTACATTTCTGGAAACTTTCCAAAAATCCCTGGAATATTCCAAAAAATCCTGGAAAGTTTCCAAAATTTCTGGAATATTTCCTAAATTTACTGGAAATTTTCCACCTTTGTGCAACCCTAATGCCAATGGAGTTGTTATAAAACTAGCTCTTTAAAGGGACAGCTCAGCCAAAAAAGATCATTCTGTCATCATTTACATTGTTTTCTTCATCTGTGGAACACACAAAATATATTTTAAACAAGTAAATGATGAGAGATTTAGGTACATTGTTCACACTACTGCAACAAATACCAACAAACTTTGTTGTAAGTTGCGCATACTTTTTAATGTGTTAAATTTAGTAAAATGTTGGCAACCGAAAAATATTTGGCCGAATAATGAATTTTCGGTCAAAATAGTTTTGGAGGGCTGAAATTATTGACTGAAACAGTTAGTGCTTCTCCGATGCTTGTCAGTGCCTATTAACGTCTAGAAATGTCAGAAATGATGACCAAAAATTATGCTACAGTTGTGAAATGTTAAGTTTGTTCAACTGAAAAATGGAGAGGCCAAAGAACTTGGGAAGAACTGCTGTACAACTATCATCTGTGAACACGACACCTTCAACAGCATACCAAGTTCAATGACCCAATTACCTCAGTCTAAATGAAAACTGTTGGTAAAAAATAATTTTGTTGCATCACTAGTTAAAATACTTTCTCCTAAACCAGATTAATAGCAGAGTCAGCTTTAAGTAAAACATTTGCAGGTTAATTTCCCCAAAATGTAGAAACACTGTGACTCTTTGGTGGTTTCAAATCATTGATGTGTTTGTTTGTGCATCTCAACCAACCAGCATTGACTCAGCATTGGTTATTCTCCAAAAACACCTTGAATACCTCAAACTGGTGTAACCAGCTAGCTTGTTGCCCAGTCTAGACCAGCTAGAAACCATCTACCATGTTCCAAAAACAGTGACTTGCTCAACTTCATGTCGTTCCAAACCTATATGACTTTCTTTGTTCTGTGAATCTTTGCTATGGTAAAATACTTTCTCCTAAACCAGATTAATATGCAGAGTCAGCTATAAGTAAACCATTCGAACTCATTCTCAAAAAATCACCCCACATATCTTAAACTGGTATAATCAACTGGCTTGTTGCTGGTGCAAGATGGTCTACTAACTTTGCCCAGCCATTGACTAGCTAGCAACTATCTACCAAGCAATGAGGTATTTGGGTGAACTGGTACTTTAAAGCTAGTTCACACTACTGCAACAAATACCAACAAACTTTGTAGTAAGTTACTCATTACATTAGCAATACATGTACAGAGTCCGCTATAAGTAAACAATTGAACCTCATTCTCCAAAAAACACCAGCTGGCTTGTTGCTGGTCCAAGATGGTCTACTAACTTGCCTAGACCACATTGAAACCATCTACCATGTTCTAAAACAGTGATTTGCTCACCCTCATGTTGTTCCAAACCTATATGACTTACTTTGTTCTGTGTGAATCTTTGCTATTGTAAAATACTTTCTCCTAAGAGTCAGCTATAAGTAAACCATTTGGTTGGTTAAAATGTAGAAACACTGTAACTCTTTGGCACTTTCAAAACATTGATGTGTTTGTTTGTGCATCTCAACCAATCCGACACCTCAGCTATGGCTCATTAGCTTTTCGAACAGACCTCATTCTCCAAAAACACCTTGTATATCTCAAACTTGTATAACCAACTGGCTTGTTGCTGGTTCAAGATGGTCTACTAACTTTGCCCAGCTAAAGTCCAGCCTAGACCACCTAGAAACCAGCTAGTATGTTCCAAAACACACAGGGAGACCATCTAAACACCAAGTGCATGACAAAAAGGTATCCTCAAAGTATTATACATTAACTCAAGAACTCCGGGTCTTAAAAATAAGAGCATTCTTTGAGGAACCAGAACAAATGGCCCCGTAGACGTCAACATATTTCCTCTCAAGACGGTTGAGGTATAATCTGGACTTTACAAAACACAATAGAACTTCAGACGGTATTAAAGAAAAAGACAGAGAAATCTGATGGCCAGATCTCGCTCATTCTCACTTATAGACAGACACATCTGAGGCTCGCTTTCATCGGGGAGAAATCCGGCTTTCTCTGGAGATTTCCATTCCTTCCCACAGCATCAGACGCTGTTTTCTGAACTCGTCTCCTTCTCCCAGACTGCTCGGATTCAATCCCACAGGCTTTATTTGGACGAACACAACTACTTCTGTAAGGAATACAGACATTCGTGAGCTTCAAATACTAGAGATAAGAGCTGAATCATAGCGATATCAGAGCAGGGAACGTAGTGACGGCTCTGACCAGAATATTACACACCGGATGACATTTCTATGAGAAACACTTCCTGACTTCACTGTTGGGATCATTTCTAAATTATTTTCATTTGTAAGTAGCTTTGTATAAAAGCATCTGCTAAGTAACAAAATTTAAATATAATGTAAATGTAAACAACAAAACTAAATTGAAATTTTAAAACAAGCCCCAAATCAAATAAATAACACAAATAAAAGAAATCTCTTCATATAAACAAACTAAGACTTTGTCTGTGCTCTTAACATTTAAAATTAGAGGCAACCACTGCATTTTAATCATGATCCAAACAAAGATGCTGCATACATGCAACATGAGCAGGTTTTAATCTAAATTAGATTGTATAGTTTCGAAATTTGAAGCAAAAACAGAATGATTTGACAGTTTTGTGAAACTATACATAATATCTTGCATGAAACAGAAACAGCAGACGAGCTGAATGAGACACAGATTCACTCTCTGCCAGCAGGTGGCGCTTAAAGCTTTCCTTGGTTTCCGCTGTAAACAAAGCAGCGCTGCACTTATGAACTTTAATATGCATTATACAGAGGCAAGATGAAAAGAAAAATACCATCTAAACTTTTCTAAAGACAGTAAGTTCCCCTCAGACATACATTCATATAAACTCCTACCCCTAACTGAATCGCGATTTGTTTAGCATCTCAACCGATTTGAATCGTCACATATTTAAATCGATTTTCAACCGGCTCGCGGTTAATCGTTACATCCCTAGTTCAAGGCATTAAACAAAACGTTTCTCAAAGGAAATGGGCTGAACACATTATTCAAAAAGAAAATATAAGCCATTTTCCTTGATGTTTACAAATATGAGCATTCATTGTACTATGAAACTAGCACAAAAATGGTCCAAAACGACAATTTATTTAAATAAAACTGCAAAAACTAGTTCAGAGCCTTCACAACTTCCCATTTCGTCGTGTGACACTGATGAGTAATGATGCTGAAAATTCAGCTTTGCATCACAGGAATAAATTACATTGTACAATATATTTAAATGGAAAACAGTTATTTGAAATTTTAATAATATTTCACAATATTACTGTATTTTTGATCAAATAAATGCAGCCTTGGTGAGCATAGAAGATAAAATATAAGCCAACTTTCCTGAATGGTTTAAAATAAGAGCTAACATTGTACTATGAAACTATCATGAACATTTCCTTCCCACACCATTTACTGAAATTAAACTGCAAAAACAAATGGTTTAGAAATATCAACAACTTACCGTTTCAACAGTGGACATATGAAAGAATACTGGTTTTATCAAGCCATTTAAATTCTTTAAATTCTATTTATTTTTTGTGCTTTGTCACATCAGGAACATACATTTAAAACACACGCACACCATTTATTCACCATATTGTACGTACAGTGCAATAAAACACCTTTCTGAGTCCATCAACACCGACAGCACCAGCTCACAAAAACTAAACACCCATAAAACCTTTTGTCTTTAAATTACACAACCTTCATCTGAGCATGAAATCATATTCACTGGAGATCCAACGAAAAAACAAAACATGGCACCAAACAGCTTTGGTTTTCCACTTGATTCGAGAAATGCAGAGAAGCTGATCTGTAAGGCTTGTTTCATATGCTGAGTGTTTCTGCTGCAAATCCATACAAATAAAGTGATTGCTGGGTTACACCTGGACTGTTTCCTTTACTAATGGCCAAAAATTATGAAATCATGAGCGAGCTATCAAGAACTACTATTTTTTTTGTTGTCATAAAGAATAAATGGACATGCTGTTTGATTTTGCATTTTGTTCAATGTCTGCATGTTACAAAGCAGCACATCCATTTCCATTTTATGGAAAAAACAGATCAAGTTCTACATGCAATAGTAAGTAAACTGGACTGAATCCAGATGATTCAAATTTCCTATGCTGGAAAAGGTCTTGCTCATAAATAGGTTTTCACCATATTTTCTGCTAAAGTTCAGTGTGGCAATCGCAGATTAACAAATGGCCCAGAACTGAAACTCTACTTGGCAAAATAAATATACACTGCTAAGAGCCACACGCTCTCGAATGAAACTCCCAAAGTATGGGATCACGAAATGATAAAAAAACGTATACCTTAAATGCAATGTGTGTCGCTTTGGATAAGATGCATAAATGTAACCAGGAATTACACGACCACAGAAACATGTAAACCAATCAGCACTCAACAACTGTAATTCAGGATCATCAAGACCTGAGAACAACTACCGTAAGAGAACAAACACACACACACACACACACACACACACACACACACTCATAAGCACTGACAACATTCACAATACAGGCCTTTTTGAGGAAATCTCACTAAACCTGTGAAGAATATGTTTCACCTCAAAATCAAAAGAAAAAAATAAGAAAATGTCCAGATGCACTACAGAAACGTTGTCAAGAAAGTAACACCTTAAAGGAATAGTGCATCCCAAAAAAAATTTTTTGCTGAACATTTGCTCACATCCAAGATTTGTAGGAATGTAGCATTGAATCAGTGTCTCAGCAATGGATGCTCTGCAGTGAATGGGTGCCGTCAGAATGA